TGTCAGAACGGTACTAACAGTAATCAATTTAGGAGTGTGAGAACGGTACTGACAGCATTTAATTTAGGAGTGTCAGAACGGTACTAACAGTAATCAATTTAGGAGTGTGAGAACGGTACTGACAGCATTTAATTTAGGAGTGTCAGAACGGTACTGAGAGTAATCAATTTAGGAGTGTCAGAACGGTACTGACAGTAATCAATTTAGAAGTGTCAGAACAGTACAGACAGTAATAAAGTTAGGAATATCAGAAGAGTACTGACAGTATTTAATCTTGGAGTATCAGAACGGTACTAACAGTAATCAATTTATGAGTGTCAGAACGGTACAGACAGTAATCAAATTAGGAGTGTCAGAACAGTACAGATAGTAACCTAACTAAGAGTATTAGAACGATATTGACAGTAATCAAACAAAGAGTGTTAGAGCGGTACTGACAATACTCTAATTAGGAGTGTTAGAAGGGTATTGACAATTTTAAAATTATATATTTAGAATCTTTAATCCTAATTGAGCATTTTTATAAACCTGCACTTCCTGATAAAAATGTAAATTTGTTGTACCATTCTCGAACTCCTAATACGATTACGGTTTTAAATCTGAAAAGTTTTTTAGAAATAGGGATGTTATAAAAATGACATTGTTTATGTTACTGTTAATCAGTCTCACTTGTCACAAGTCATCAGTGGACAAAGTATGTATTTGATATATTTTCTTTGCTCTAGATTGTTCTTAAAGCTTACAATTCAAGGTCAGTGTTCGGATACATCCACCTGTTCAAACTATAGAGAGAGACCTTCGCAGTTCTAGAAGATGGCTGACCGACTTCATGCATGACTGATAACAATCGTCTTCCCAAGTCTTTCAGCTCAAGTTTGAAGAAACAAAAAACTAATTATGTGACCCTATATTTCTCACTCATAGTTTCCAGTTCGCTTACAGTAAGAGTAATTGTAAAACTAGCACAAGAAATACATTAATATCTTGTTGCTGGTGCCGCTTGTTTGTATTGATGAGAATGTTGTACATTAATCTATACGAGTATTATGTTCGATAATTGTGTTATTACGATTTTTTCTCTTGCAATCTAATCACATTCCTTGGTCATTGACTTATTTTGGATATTAAAGGAATGAAAAACAGCTCTTAATGCTTATTGAAAACTGAACAGCGTTTCAGTTTTCGGGTTCATGAGAAGACAATCTTTTCTGTAGTTCATAATCGACAGTTTTCTGGTTTATAAAAAGAAAATATTCTTTCTAATTTGTAATCGTCAAATTTCTGATTCATGTTCATTACACCTATATTATAAATGTGCAAGATATTTCAGGAAACTCTCCTGTTCCTTACATCTACAAAATTCTAAGCAAGATGTTTCAGGGAACTCTCCTGTTCCTTACATCTACATCGTTCTAAGGAAGATGTTTCAGGAAACTCTCCTGTTCCTTACATCTACAAAATTCTAAGCAAGATGTTTCAGGAAACTCTCCTGTTCCTTACATCTACAAAATTCTAAGCAAGATGTTTCAGGGAACTCCCCTGTTCCTTACATCTACATCGTTCTAAGGAAGATGTTTCAGGGAACTCTTCTGTTCCTTACATCTACATCATTCTAAGCAAGGTGTTTCAGGGAACTCTTCTGTTCCTTACATATACATCATTCTAAGCAAAGGTATTTCAGGAAACTCTCATATTCCTTACATATACATTGTTCTAAGGAAGTGTGGCACTTTTTGTTTGCCTCTTTTGAATCTACATATCCTTCGAATAGAGGGTACATACCTTCTTCTACAGTTTGATGTTTCTTCGTTCACATTAGCGGAACTGTAGTTATATCTAAGTTAAAATGACAATTTGTACGTGCTTGAATAATCATCGGATGTTCTTAACTACTATACATATGATATTGGAGCAACCGATCAACCCCCATAACCATTAAAACGACAGAACATTTACTCTCAACTCTCCCGGTTGAACTATAAACATTAGGGTTTATAAAGACAAAATATGAGGTTTCAACACTTTTGCAGCTTTGCGTTTGAAACAAACAAATATTTCTGGTACTTCCTAGTATGCAGTGATTCAGGTGTTCTATGAATTGTATATGAAATTAACTGTTAAAAAGTTTTTTTTCTTTATAATTTAGCGTGAAATATTTTTTTATGAGTGTTGTTCTTCCAGGTGCTGGGATGGCTTTGTGGGAAAGGAGTAGATACACTAACCAAACACCAAGCTATGGCCGACTCTCTTATCAGTCTGAAAGAGCAAGAAGGAGAATTTGAAAAGTTTTACTTTCTAGCTATGGTGAGAATGATCTATTTTTTTTCTAAAATACTCTATAAATTACCTTTTCGAAATATTTATATTTTAGATTCATAAATACAGTATACATTTTCACATCATAAGTGATGCAGGAACACTGCTTTGTTAAGCGCTGTATATAACTTATTTGATACTATTCTGGTAGTTATTCTACATTGTTACCATTGCTTGAAAACAGTTGTAATGTAAACATTTCATTGTTAAATACAGTGTACATTGTTTTTGACACAGTTCTGATATATTTTGCATTGTTAAACAAAGCATATATTGTTTATAAACACTTCTGGTATAATTAAAATTGTTAAACATATTTTACCTTTTTATGCATAGTTCTATATATATATTCTATGTTGTTTTATCAATATTTCTATTATTTTTACAACTATTTCCTGAACTTTAAGTTTCTTATTTTTTATTTTTACTTTCACACAAGCTTCGCAACAAAGTTCCTTTTTTCCCTTATATTTTGAAACTCTGATTTTTCACGTTCCAAAAGCTCAGTTTTTATCAATGTACACGTACCCTCTTTTTTTGCGGTAGACACACAAGGACGTTTTTATACAAGCCATTTTTACTCGCATGACTTTTTGCTTTGATTGTTTTTATTATTTCCAGTTTGGACTTGTGGGTTTCTTTTTCTGCTTACGTACCGTTGATATTCGTATTGCGAGGGAAGCTATAATCAAGGTTTAGTTGCTAAGGTTTATATTTGTTTTGTAGTAACCGTAGATGAAACTTTTCTACAGAATAAATATATGTTACATTAGTAACACATTTAATATAAACTTATTAACAGGTTACACTCGAATTACTCTCACTTCATGCCAGTTCAAAAAGGTTTTCAATAAATTACAGTTTACACTCATAATTTACTCACCTCCAGCAAGTTCGTGAAAATATTTCAGTGGACTACAATTTGCACTCACAGTTTCTTACCTCCAACTAGTCCGTGAAAGTATATCAGTAGAATACAATTGGTACTCACAGTTTCTCACCTCCAGCTAGTCCGTGAAAATATTTCAGTGGACCACAACTGACACACAGTTTCTCACCTCTAGCTATTTCGTGAAAATATTTCAGTGGACTACCCAGTTTGCTCTCACACTTCACCCACTTCAGCTCAGTTCGTATATATATTCAGTGAATTACAGTTATGACTAAATTTCTGGTCTACAACATTCCCAGTGACGTTCAAAATCTTTATCCCCAGTGGCTCAGTGGTAAGTTTTAGGACATAAAGCGCTCAGATTTGGAGTTTGATTCCTGCGGTGGGCACAGCACAGATGGCACATTGCGCAGTTTTGAGCTTCACAACATATAAACAGTTGTTAATATATTTTGTTGTGTATATGGTTTTAACAATGTAAGTAATACACTTTCAGGTCAGTGATTTCACAGATTTTACAGATCGTAACCTGGTTTAGGTATTGTCTTTCCAACTAGTGAAGACACTTCTCATTTTGTAGTAAGGCTGGAGTTTGTGTATCTCGGAGCATGTGCATAGATTTTCTTTTATTGACCTGATTTAAAGAATGAACGGTCAAGTAAATACTGATATAAATATTAGTTTTTAACTATTTATGTTGGGCTGTTTAAGGAATGAGTATAAAACTTTAAAAAAAATTACATATCGCCGTGGCACAGCGGTATGTCTGCAGACTTACAACGCTAGAAACCGGGTTTTGATACTCGTGGTGGGCAGAGCACAGATAGCCTATTGTGTAGCTTCGTGCGTAACTTCAAAATAAACAAACAATTATATGTCATGTAAATTATTTAAGCTCCATCTTTCAATTAGAAAACAGTACTTTAACTACAAAATGTTTTAAGTGTTAGATACTTTACTACATCTAGTGAAAATGTCGTATTTAAGTCCACTTTTTAAAAGACATTATGTAAATTAGTTTAAAACTACTCCCTTGTACTCAAGTTGAAAATATAAGAAATAAAATTATTTTATTAGGACCACATACATATCTGTAGAACACTACTTTTATTCTGGTATTAAAAAAATGAGTGATCTTATGATATGTCAGGAGATTACTTTAGCCTTATAAGATACAAATGCAAAAAGTTAGTTATATCATAGTTAGTTCACAAGACTGGATAAGAGGAAAGACTTATTCGATTTGAAAAGGGATATGATAGCTGGTGCCTGTGTTGCGAATTGTCCTGTTTCTGTGATCACCTGTTCAATGTTATATGTTATTACCATCTATTAACAGTAGAAATTAAAAGGGAATACATTTATCACTGGAAAAAAACATAAACCAACAACTGTTGGTGAGAGAAGAAGAGATGAAAACAACAACAAAAACGATTTGACAGGCTTGTAATGTGCAACAGACGTCAGACTAACATAATTGACCAGTTCTTTAACAGGTATCAGAGTTCAATTTTCTCGAAACATACCATGCAAAAAAATTGCTCAAACTGTCATATGCCAACCAACAACCTATCTGTAAACAGGTTTTGTAAGAGAATGAAAGGAAAATACGGCTTCACTGCTGCTTGGAACGCAAACCGTGAAGGATTACTTACTGAAAGCGTGTGACGTGGTCTGGTGGTTCACGTTTCACCCTTTTCTATGCTGATGGTAAATTGAAATTATGGAGAAAATCACGATTCACTAGCCCTTTTGTGTTGCTCCGACAATGCAAGCTGCTAGAGTTGGCGTAAAGGTGTGTGGCAGTATTTTCTTTTAGGAAGACAAATAATAACTTTCTGAGTGAAAGTTGGTGTTGACTTTACCTAGCCCAAAATGCAACATTTACAGCATGATAAACAAGTGTTCTTCCAAGGCAATAGTGATATAATCCATCACACTCATATTCTCCAAAGCTGGTCCAAAGAACATGACAGTGACTTCAGCCATCTTTCATTATAGGCAAAATCATCGGGTCTCGATCCTACCGAATAGTTTTGAGATAATCTTAAACATCACAATCTTTTCGTAATCTACTGTCGAGATATGTGAACAAAATGAAGATCATACTACTTCAGCAATTCATATCAATGAAAAATTGGGTAAGGCTTTACACGATGTTACTGGCGTGAACATCGCCTTGGACGAAAAATCCAAATCCAAAAGTGCACGGTTACTGAATTTCTCGATTTATGCACATCGTTGAGATGAGTTATAGCGTGAGATAACACGATATTAGAAGATTAACTTGCAGTTTTTCACGTAAAACTAATGTAAGTACTTGACGCCCAATATGGCGGAGCAAAATTTTAAACCACTTGACTTTTTTTTACGTCAGTGGAACGCCTTTATATCACAACGAGTTTAGGGCATTATCAGGATGAATGGTGGCTGAATCGGTTATTGCTTGGAGATCTTTCCTAATACAGTGGATGCTGTGACTACACTTATCTACCTTTAGGTGTATACCTCTTGGACTTTTCTTCAGTTGGTGATTATTATATTGTATTCTTTGCGCAATTAAAGTATATAATTACGTAATTGTCACTTTTTTACGTTGATTTTATCGCTCACTTATTGGTACTGTTTTTATTTATCTTTTGATGTATATTAATGTGTACAATTAACTACTTAATTAAAAGAAGAAAGTAACCAACACGTAGATGATACCATAAAACACAAAAACTTTTTATTTTCCAAGATCAATACGATAGTTTCAATAGGTGCGCGATTATGAAGTTTGATCGTTAATGAGAAAGTTTCGGCATACTAGTTTCTTTTACTAAGTTCTTTGAAAGGCTGTTATATAAAGGTAACAATTATAAAATATTGAATATCATTATATTCTAATATTTTTTATATATTTTCATTTTTATAATTGAAACTTTAAAATCATAAATATTCTAGAAACATAATTTTGATTTTTGAGTTATAATTTGCAGTAATTTTAGGTTCAAGTAATTCCAACTTCAATTAATTTGTATTAGTTTATCATTATTGCTTTGGCAATAAATATTTTGTAAAAACTGTATAAATATCATAATGTTATGCTTGTTAATAGTATGTGAAAATCATTAAGTTAATAATGGCAGACATTACTTTTCGAGATATTTGTTAGCGAGTCTCATTATATTGTGAAGAAACATCAAATCTCACATTATTTCTAGCTGTTTAAGTTCTTGCTTAACTGGGTATATTTTTGTTGTCTAAATGAAGAACTGCATTTTACGAGAGACGTTTTGCAGTATTTTGGCGGATAAATGACGTATTTGCCACGTCACTAAAACTAGTGAGGCAATAAGTCATTTCATACCTGTATATTGAATACACTGATTCAACTTTGAGTACCAATTGTAAAGAATTTTGTAGATTCAGAGTCAAGACATACTTCACCAACATTTGTTATAAATTGCGAAAGCACGCACCTCTTTCAGAAATATATATATATATATTATTGGATTTGCTGACAGACGATCGCTCAATGAAACGTAGTTTGTATCTACTGGGTTGCCATAGTAGCGCTCGCTAGAGGGCGATAGACACTCTTGTAAGATGCCTGAATAACATTGACATGAGCACGAGGGCTAAGGCGGTTGTGAAAGCACGCGTCACATTCTTCATTTCTTTGTGAATTTAGGTCTGCTTGCTGCGTAAGCTGCAGTTACGTTGATGGAACCAGCGTGGCAAGTGGGTAAGGACTTATGACTAGGGAATGGATGTAAGTACTTAATAACCACTTTGTTAAAATTTCGAGGACAAATGACCTAACTGTTTAACTTAAGTCACAAAAACAAGTGTGATCGCGTGTTAGTCTGACCGTTACTTACAGTTTTACAGCGTTATTTAATACGTAGTATGGGGATGTTCAGGAATAAATACGTTACTATAATTGTTGCAATGTCAATAATAGGCAAAGAATTAAAAGATCAAGCGGGAAAACTAAAATAAAAACAACATGGTTAAGTACAGAAAATAAACAACAACCCTTGGCTTTAGAGATCAGTTTTTACTTTGTAGTCTATGTTAATGTGTTAGTTTCAGAGTTTATGCTCACCCG